AACACAGCCTTGTTATACACCAGCAGCTGTACTGGCGGGAAAACCTTTAGAAGCTTTATAACAAGTTACGGCAACTTCAGGCACGGCACGACATGGAACAGCAATGCATGTCGTGGATCCTGTTACTTGTACTACGGGGGAAGTTATAAATCTACAGTGGGCTTCGGCAACGCGCACTGCAGCAGCAATCTTAAAAGTAGTCGTTACCTGTCATTCTGGTGCGACTGGAGCACTGGCGACGGATCCGTGATGATGATTGGTGGAGGAGGTGACGGATGCAATAGGGCAGATCATGGGATTGGCAATACGGAAGCCGGTAACGCTCGTTTCGCAAAGGAGACTGTGATGGAGACTTTGGAGATAGTTGTAGCACTCCCAGTAGTTATTCTCTCAACCTGTGGATTAAATAGCTGCAAGATGTTTTACTGATGTAAGTGCGAGTGTCATCTTTTATTTATTCATTTCTTTTTTTCCATTTCTGATCCTGTGATGCCCCTGAACTGTGAATCATTAACAATGCAAACTCCAAAATGAGTGGCTGATAGTAAAAGAGCTTTCGTTACCACTTCTGTAGAGAACTAAGGCATGTTTCGTAGAGGGCAATCGCAAACATCGTTTCCCGATATCAACACAGATATGATGATTTTAGAGGAGCTAGTGTCTGATGAATGTAACTCAGTTTGAATAGCCATTTTATAAGCATGTCATTTTGACGATTTGTCATACAGTAGTTGCCATGGTAGCGCGCGATTAGAGGTATCAGATGTCATGCGGCTGAATGATGCTAAATAAACAGTTTCTTATTTTCACTTGTCTTATACATTGTTGGGATGGGCTAGCTGCCAAAATTCCCAGGGATAATGAGGGGATATCTTAGAGCGATACGCCAAAGATTCAAAAGTCCGTTTTTCATTGACTCGATCAGTTTTCTTAACTTGTTCAAAAAATTTAAAATTACATGGAACAATTTAAGCCAATTTCCACTTTGAATAAACAGATTTGAACCGTGGGTCAACTCGCAGAGATTCTCTTCCATTGCACTCGGGTGTTTTCGGTTTTAGCACAAAGAATAAATTACATTACTTAACGCCGAGTGAGGCGTTTACATAATTGATCCTCAACTCCCAATTATCCACGTCATCTATCTTAATTGAATTATCAATACGCAGAAACAAATGCTGACACTGACATGGTTCGTTCGCGCGCTTCGAATTCCATTCTCGTTGTACTTAACTATTCTATGGCTTTTTTGTTAACAATCGGAACATTCTAAGCCCTAAATGTCCTTTTCATGTTGAGATGACTTACAGAAGAACCACCTGTGTTGCAGTACCGGTGGTTGTTGTGTTGATCTTGGGATTGACGATTTCTTTTAGTTTGATGACCGATGAGTTAAGGAATGGAGGTTTGAAGTTTTCACTGGCTATTTCTCAGTCAGTTATTTTCTGTCAAGGGATGACTATAACCAGGAGGATTCTTACGGGGCAGTCCTTGTTCTTTTAGGGATAGCAAGCAATTCTAAACGTTGGGATCATCAGGAAAATGAACGCGAAAACAGAGACAAAACTGAACCCCTAACCATGCTAGCAAAACGACAATTTAGAAGAGGAGTTGGTAAGTTCCTTCTTGTATATACGCAGAGTTCAAACACGGCCAAGAAAACAACGATAAGCAGGCACTGAGTTGCACTTCTCTACAATAGTTCCAGATCTCTATAACTGAACCATTATTAGTATAGGAGGAGCCGCGGTGGCCTAATGGGTAGCGCGCTAGTAGTGCTACAGAAACTAGCGTAAGCTCCGGCTTATGGACCAATGGCCTGATACAGACTTAACCTGCCTACCTTGTGTATAGGATGCAAATTTAGGGTTGGATCTCACTACAACGGCCTTAGACTCCTATAATGACGTTTTCTGTTGATTAGGAAACTACAGTCGAACCTCCGGTTGCGACCACCTCTGGTAAGCTACCGCGACCACTCTTAGAGCTAGAAGTTTGAAATTTGAGAGTTAATGAATGAATGAATGAATGAATGAATGAATGAATGAATGAATGAATGCTTTATTTAACGTGGATATACGCTTAGCTTGAGAACTGGTTTACAGGTATTCCACCTAATAACTAGAGCGGAAATAGGCCTTTGCACGATCCGGTCACATGGTGTAGACTTAATTATGCTGGGACGCAAGTTACACAGTGGTACTGTCAAAACAAAGGAAATTCGGGCTGGACTGGTGCGAGTTCCTTTGTTTTGGAAATCTCACGGTGTAACTTGCGTCCCAGCGTAATTAATTCCGTACCATGTGACCGGATCGTGCAAAGGGCCTATTGAATAATAAGGTGTTGTGACATTATCGCATTTCTGGCTAGTACAAGAGACGGAAATTTCCCAATGGGAAGTACAGGACTTTTTCTTCTCTCTCGCTTACGGTAGGTTTGACCGTATTGCGAAAACTCTGGGAACAAGATAAACTCTTTTTAAAAGAGCCAATTATTTGGTTTGACCATGATTGCTGTCCAATAGGGATGTGAACGATCCCTGAGTATTGATCAAAGTTCATACTATAATTGAAAAATCGAAGTTAATTTAAGGTAGTAATTGCTTTTTACTACATCCTTTTTTTAAGGTGACGAGCTTAATATATTAAAGGACAAAGCGAAAAAGGCAAATTCCGTTTACAAATGGCTAAAGAGGAATTGGCAAAAGCTATTCGTTATCGTAGTTGCCGTAATTGCACTGATAGCAGTTGTGGGAATCTACAGAAGGTGTTTCTCTGATTCAAGGTAAGGATGTTTACAAGGATGTTTACGTTAAACATCGTGATCTCTTGCCATGCGGCAACATTCAAATTTTACGGCAAAACAATTAGCAGGCGTAAAAGCCACGATCTGTTTCTAAATCTGTAGTAAGATGCGGCATAATAAGGTGTCCTTCATAAAATAGTAATTTTCTATAAAGAACTATAAATAGGTTTCTGAACATTATTGCTGGGAGAGAATCGTTCCCTAAGATCATACTGCCTTCTGTTTCTAACGAAAAAATATACAGTTCCTAACTCCTCCACTATGTGAATAATTTTTACATACTAGCGACGTCTGATCCCGTATTCGAGCAGTTTTCAATTGAGTTTCTTTAAACCAAACCAAACCAATTACTCACCAATTAGACTACTCAGCCAATCTCAAATCGAGGTAAGATCAAAACCAAGATCAAAGTAACTGTTTTCTGGCGTACGCATCATAGAGCGGTTTTCATTTGAGTGTCGAAAGGTAATTGGTTTTGCATTAATTACGCTACACGATTGGCTTAAAAAGCTCGCGCCACTTTTTCATCCAATCAGAAGTAAAATCAAAACCAATTGTAACTCACTCGCACTCGTTTTCCCGCGCTTTTCGTCAGCTACATTTAATTTCTTCGAGCTTTGATTGGTCCACTGGATTGTCTGTGTCCTTTGTGATTGGCCAGACTGATTGCTTTGGTTTTGGTTTCACGACGCTCCGATGAAAACTGCTCTAATCATGGTTGCCAATTTGTTCAGTTAACTGCGCGCGCGCGATCTAGAGAGAATACTTGTCGACGACGCATTTCCAGTAACTGTATTATTAGCCTGATTCTATCTGAGTATAAATTAGCGCCAAATGGTGATTTGTATTTAGAAACTCGTCGATCTTTTTTACTTTAAAGCCTTATAGCAGGAAAATATCTTCAAGTTATAACAAGATTTATATCATGTATATCGAATAAAAATCGTCGTCTTTTTACATTTAGCTCCAGTGGAGATGACGAAGAGCCAAGTGTAGTGGTCGTGAGAATGGTAAAACAAGATGACAAATATAACAACGAGCTTAAGGGGCCAAAGGTCACGGAAGGATGTGCACAAGAAAGTAGTGGAAGCGGAAAGGCTACTATTTTGCATGGAACTAATAACGCTATACGTAGAAGCGGTACTGATTCAACAGTTGCAAAGAAGTTGCCAGATGCCGGGACACTTCACAGCGATAGATCTTCCGCTTTAGTACCGAGTAACGTTAAAGGGAAGATTGTCGAAAGACAGGTCACTAGGGTGAAAAGTGGCGGATTTCCCGAACTTACCAATCTCCACCTTCCCATGAACAGTATTCCTATCTCTGGGTATACAATATTTCAGCAAATTGAATGTTACAATGCCTTTTTCCATTTCACTCAGTGCATTTTCAACGCAAAAATGCCTGCGAACCAGCTCAAGGTCCAACCTACAAGGGTCTGCGAGGGGAGCACGAGTGAAGGGCCTTTTCCGGTCTACGGGGAGGTCCCTGTGATAAAGAACTTGATGGCCTCACTGACGTTAAAATATTGTGATGCTTATATTCCTACAGCAAGCACGAACACCAACCTGCCTTTGACCGTGTCACCTTAACAAAGAGTTTGCTATTTGTGCCATTGAAAGGAGAAACACGAATGGGATCTGCGTTTAATGTTTTGGACACCAAAAAAGGCTACTGCCGGGGATGGATGAAAATTGCTGTATTCAAAAGAGGGGAGTGTTCCTGAAGCAGCATTTAAATCACTTTTCTGTTCGCGCTAAGACTGGATTAAGAAAGACCAATAGATTTTTGCGTTTAGGTTAAAAACCCGTTCTTCCAATTTGTAAGAACAGACGAACTTATATGCTAGAAGTATATGTCTTGCTACCTTGTTCTACCTTGTTCTACCGAGGAGATGTAGAAAAAGGGGGTCAAAAATGAAATTTTCTTTTCGCGGAGTTTAATAGGACAGTTTCTTAACTACTAATGCTGCAGAAATACATGTATTCTTGCTGTAGGGTTTCGCTGCTATTGTCTTTATTTATTTATTTTAGTTTGTTTTTGAAATCATGCAAAATGCCTCTTGCTCAAACAGGTATAGTAATTAACAAGTGTACTTTCAACCTCACCTGTCTTGTAAAAGCTAAATGGAAGTAAAACATATTTTGTGAAGCGTGCAGAATTCATATTGGGTAAAAAAAAAAAAAAAAAAAAATATATATATATATATATATATATATCTTAAATGGTGGTGCTTAAGGTAACAATTGCGTTTTTCATTGAGGTTTCCCTGGTTAGATTGTACCAGGTTAGCCGAACGTGTGAAGTCTGGGTACAAGTTAAATAAACTCCTCCCCAGGTTTCCTCGGTCGTTTCGAACAAAATGGCGGGCAAATTTGTTCTTGCGCAATGACTGTCTGATGCAATTACAAGAGAAATAATAAGGCTAAGAGGTACTGTACTGCGGAATACATGCAAGGGTAAGCTTCTTTATTGAACCAAGTTTATATAAAGCAAATTGTAGGACTTCCGAAAGGGTTCATGTAGGTGCAAATGAAATCATACGTAATTTGGGTGCCGGTGTGTTCGATGTAGACGTCTGTACACTATTGCACATTATTTTTAGGCTACTCCAATATAGCGAGCAAACTTCTTGTCCCTCTCCATTTGACCTGAAAAGACGTTGGCTGTGCGCTGGCGCTATCAGAATTAAGCTTCAGTTATCTTGAAGTAATTAAGTCGATCAGTCAACGTTTTAATTAGAACTGTTAGCGCTCTGGTGTTCCAGCCAACAAGAGAATTAACATTGTGTTTCCATTAATTGTTTAAGAGTATTAGCAGTAATACATGTACGATTCTATCAGTTGTTCATTTCAGTCCTTGCATGTGAAGAATTGCGAAATGGAATTCAGCAATAGCAGTTCAATTAATTGAATGTAAAGTGCTGCCACATCGAAATTTCAAGTAAACACTTTGCTTTAATTCTGACTGTTAAATATGGAATTCCTGCGTGTGTTTTCAAAGCAGTGATATGCAAATTAAGGTGATTGAATTATGAAAGGGCAATAATCCTCAGTATTCCGCTCAATGATGTGTAATTGTAACAGTTCTCTTGAGTGAAAAATGGCAGATCACTCCCTTGAGCTGTAAGAGAGTGATTTAAAAATGAAACAAATTTGGCGATCAGGATGGAATGATAAAAGCAATAATTATTGAAATTTACCCTTGATTTTAACACCTGATTTTTCAAACAAATGTCTGTTTCCCTAGATAGTTTGAAAAATCCGGAATCCCCTTGAAGTTCAGTTTTTATATACCATACATGTATCTTTCTTTCACTAAACTGGGTGGCCATTTAAAATTTCGTTAAGAAACCCTATGTGAGGATCACACTGGAACCCATAGGAGAGGGTCCAAAACCTGGAAAACCATGTGAAAAGCTATTCTGCAGCACATATTTAGCATGTAGCTTACACATGGAAGTATCCCCTTCCCTTCAGAATCCCTTGAATTTTGAAGCCCCTTGAGTCATCAAGGAGACAGATCAAGGAGCCAGTGAGGCAATTCCCAATGGTACAAGCATTGCAACAAAACTATGATGCACATTTGAAGGTAAACTGAAGGTAGTCACTGGCATGTTTGGAGCCATGCACTCTTCAATGCAAAATATGTTAACATAATATGTTCGTTTGAAAAATTATTCCAAACATCATGACTGCTCGTTTTCAGTTGTTTAATTGCTTTGCACTCTACTAAATTTTCCGTTGATGTTATCTTCATACTTGCATAGCATTGGCAGAGGAATGTAGTTATTGAAAAGAACATCATGTTTAAAGTTTTCCTGCATTGCAGATGAACTTGGCCGTTGATAAAGTATGTCTGAGAAGCAGTGACCAGATGCCTGCTCAGACCCAGGCCTCCATCAGGGTTTGAGTTCATTTGTGAGACAGGCTAGGGCACAGAGAATGAAGTTATAGTTGATTTACTTTCCAGATTCTTGAAAAGGAAATCACTGTGGCATTTAAATAGTTCTTCAATAACAGAGACCGGAGGGCTGGGACCTACAGGCCCACCCCCTTCTTTGTAGATTTGAATATCATGACTGAAACTGCAAGATGTAGAGTGCTTACACTGTATCAATACTCTGCTTTGTGCATTACAATGTTTGGTCATTTGCAGAAATATCAGGGCCCTAGCTAGTAAGAGGCAAACCAACGCACTTGGTACAGTCAATTTGTTGTTGTTTTTGTTTACAGTCATCAAAAACACCCTAAATACCTAGGATGAGAATTTAACCATGGACATTCCCTCAGTCATAATTTTCTCGTGGACATTACCTCAGACATAGCTTTTTTATGCCCCTGAATATCATTGCTTTATTGGCTAAAAAATGTAAGGTAGGCAGCATGGCCTAGTGGTCAAGGGTGCTGGATTATTGATTTGGAGGTCCCAAGTGTGGCTCGATAGGCAAAAAATGGTCATATTTATTACAATTATTTGGACCATAAAACACTCAATAGATCCTTTGCTGTACAAAATTTATATTGAACGTCCTTTTAACTTTTTATGTTTACAATCACAATTGAATACCTTACATTCCTGAGGAACCACACCCAATATACTGACCACACCTATTTCGTGCTGGTCCAAAACTAGGTTTACGCCAAAGAAGATATCTCTACAGTGAAAAATGCTACACCCTTGAAATTTTGCTTGCAGAACAACAATACTCAGAGCTGTGCAACCTACCACTCTAAGCTCATCAGTGCACATATTTCAAGTTTTATCATGCTGTAAAATAATTACTCGAAAATATGCATAATGGCTTCCAATTAAGTTCTTATAACTCTCCACTTATTCACTGGAATCTCACCAAAGTGGTAGGTTGCACAGCTCTGTTAATGTCCAAAATACCCTGAAAATTTCAGGTTGTTATCTACTATAGTTTTGGAGAAATCACTTTTCTAAGCATGAAAAACAGTCAAAATGCAGGTATTGAGAAAAATGGGCGTAAAAAGTGCAAACGTTTGTTCAGTTATTTTCTAGTCACATCAGAAGGCTCCTGGTCCATATGAAGGACCTTCTCTTGCCTCTAATGTCTCAGTGAAGCCTTTCTTGTAATTTCGGAGTTGTCTGCGCCTTTTCTTGGATGTTTCTCCGCTTTTACGACGCGAATGGCGAATTCTGTCATGGTCAAGCTTCATACAGGCTTTCCTACAGTGATAACCTGGATCAATTCCGAGGGCTTCTAAAGTGGTCAGGAGTGTTTGTGAGCCATCATTGAAGTGGCCAACTGCTAGGAAGGTTGCCAGCTCTACAGTTGGTGTACTGGCATGTGTTTCCTTGGTTGCCCTTTGCCAAATGAGCGCATTGATGGCCTCGTTTTGATTTTGGGTGCCACCATGAAGGCATCTTGAAAGTAAACTTTTGTCAGACAGTGCTTCAAATGTTGGATAAATTGCATCAGCAACAGCTTCTGGAATGGGTGATTCATGGACATAATCCGCCGTTCCCTTTGAAATGTCTCGTTGAAAGCCGCACCAAGATTCCTCACCAGGAGGACAGAGATCATGATCGGGTTCTTCATCCGTTGATTTTGAATGATGCCAAATGGCCATGACAGCATTTTGCATACAATCAATGTCATGGGTATTTTGCCTTATAGCCTTGCCATAATAAACTTGCAGTTTATCAATTCTCTTATCCGTTAGCCGCCCTTTTCCACCAATCCCTTTTCCATCTGCTAAATGAGTTGTTCCTTGCCGTTTTTTCAGTGACCGAAGCCTTGAGCCAAGGCGTTTCTGCACATGGCCAACGCATTCAAGTTTTGAAATGTCTACATCACCATAGACATTTTCCTGGACAAGAAGGTTATGGGCTTTACTGTCCCCATCACCGAGAAATTCCACATACCTGGTATTGTGCTGTGCAACTGATCTTTGGAATATTGCCAGCATACCTGCAGAATCCATAGAGCCAGAAGAACCAGCAAAGTTTGCTTGGCATTTGTGTTGGTGTTGTTCCCACCACTCATCAAACTCCTCAGTTCCTTCTTTTCCCCTTTTCAATTTGCACTCACCACATTCCTTCGACATAATTTCACAGTCCAACGCCTTTCCAGTGATAGTGGAGAGCACAGTAACCACTCCAAAAGATGAAGAAAAGCCTCTCTTTCTCCAGGTTCCATCTCCTGATACTGCAATATTGAAAGTTCCTCCCTCGTCAGGCTCGTAAAATTCTTTTACTTTATCTGCAGCTCTTGACATGCTTTCTTTAGCAGTACGTTCAGCTGCATCACGCACGGCTTGGACATGATCCCTATATGCATTTTCGTTCATTGGCGGCAACATGTTCATCACGCATGCAAATTTCACGAGACCTTGATGACCGACGCCAATGTTTCTGGTCGCTAAAACAGCCCTCCTGTTCACTTCGAACGCTTTGCTGTTGTTGGCCTTGGAAGAAGTGTAAAATGACTTATGAAACGAGCACTTTCGAGTTGTACACTAAAAAATTAGAAGGGAGGCAAGGCCCATCTTTGATTCCTTGTCCTCGTCGAAAACAATATGTCCTTGTTTACACAAAGGGCACAACAACGACTCGAACACAGCGGCAAGAATGGCGATATCGATGAACCGAAATCCATTTAC